CACAGTTCTGCTTCTGAATAAGATCAAGGCGTCTGTTTGTGAAGATGAATCCGAATGAGGCTTCTCCTGACATTATACATAAAGTGTCTAAATTTGTGCTAGCCGCTATGCCACATTCTTTCCTCCATGCGGTGTAGATTGCCCACTTAAGCTTAGCTTTGATTTGAAAAATGCGCCCTTTTGTTTTTCAGGCTTAATGGACCGCGTTCTTAAAGATCTCTGTGAGTTCGCTCTGTCGTATCTTGACGATGTTGCCGTCTTCTCAAACAACTGGGAAGAACAAGTCGAGTATTTATGCGTCATGCTGAACAGGATGAAAGAAGCTGGTGTTACCGTGAAACCTATCAAATATCACCTGAGGTGTCTTACCTTGGACACGTTGTGGGGCTTGCCCGGCGTACACCTTCAGAAAAAAAGGTAGCCGCCGTCTTGAACTATCCACGACCAACCACGAAATCCGAGATAACGGCATTCTTGGTCCTAGCTGGATACTATCTGCATTACGTGCAAAACAACTCTAGCATTACCAGCCCTCTTACTGAAGCACTTCGAAAGTCCGAGCCGGTTAAAATAGTATGTGACTTGGAAGAGGAGAATGCCTTTTGCAAGCTGAAACACGTCCTAAGCGAAAAACCCGTCCTCATGGCACCCGATTTCTCTAAGATATTTGTCATTCAATGCGACGCGAGTGATTGTAGCATGGAGCTATATTGTGCCAGAGAGACAGTACTGGTCTTCCTGGCACGAGCGCACCCGAGATCCGAGCGACGTGGAAGCAGCTCGCCTTTCTGGCGCATTGTCGGTTGGTGGGTGCTGTTACGCCTGGGAGTCCTCAACGAACGTCAACGCTTCTGCGAAGACAATCTGTATCAAGGCCAGCGATCGAGCCCGCCTGACGCGATCAGCTCCACGACGTCATAAAGCGGCGGCGCCGGTCTGCTTTACGCAACGCACAGTGAGCCCCCTCAGCCCACGAGCCCGATGAAGCAATCGGCGCCTTCAAGTCTGGCGAGTCTTAGTCAATGCGTGGCAACATCACTCGTCCTAGGTTGCAACCACGCGCAGCGGCTCCGGATTTGATGATCATGACGCAGCCCAGTGGTGGAATCCCGTTGGAGGATTCTGACATCGCGGCCAGCTGCTCTTCTGGTTGGGCGTTGGTGACGAAAAAGGTCCTACCGAGTCCTAGAAAAAAAAAAACAAAAAAGCCAAGCTGCGCGTCATCAGCAGTTGACCTATGAGTAAGAAAGAAGCTGATGTACGCGTCAGAGAGGACATCTCGGCTCTTCGAGTCCCTAAGCTGTCGACCCCAGTGCCGAATATGTAACGCCTCTATTTCTATGCTGTACATAATACTTTGCCTTAACTCACCATCGTCTCATCCGCTCGTCTATCAGCTCTGCGCAGAAGCAGTCGCGACCTGAGTAACACACGCTACCAAACGGCTAATGACCTTGGCGGCGAATTTTGGAACAGTGGCGCTTTCGGGACCGTGTTGACGTCGCGCCTTCGTAACAACGCACGAAACGCACTCACAGCTACAGATGATCGCGAATAAGCGTCTCAGTTGTTACTTCGCTGTCTTTGAAAAGGGCACTCTTTTCCCAAACGGATGCCATGCAACAATTGCAGTGAACTTTGTGCGCCCAGTAATTACAACAGAATTGTTGCTGTGAAAGCCGAAGGCAACCAAAGGCGTCGGATTGTTCCCAGCGCGAGGTAACTGCGCGTGTTAGCGCTGCCCCTCCTACCTTACCGCGGGACAAAGTACGCGTGGGAGATTAGAGCGCTTGACGCCGCTTCATGACGATGTGATGACGCGCTCTCATTGCGCCAACTTGCCGGTAATGCAGAAAACACGATAGTTCCTCACGAGATGCCCGTCACCAGCTGCAAGTGGTAAATATAAATAGCATGCCAATTAAATGTCGGAGGAAGTGCACATTTGTGGCTCACTCGTAAACGCCTCACAATCACGATGCAGAGGTCACACGTTGAATTCCACATGCGAGAGCCCTTTTTGAATTATATATTTTATTTTCTTGCTTGTCAAATATATAATGATGTATGTATGTATGTATGTATGTATGTATGTATGCATGTATGTATGTATGTATGTATGTATGTATGTATGTATGTATGTATGTATGTATGTATGTATGTATGTATGTATGTATGTATGTATGTATGTATGTATGTATGTTTGTATGTATGTATGTATGTATGTATGTATGTATGTATGTATGTATACATGTATGTATGTAGGTATGTATGTATGTATGTATACATGTATGTATGTATGTATGTATGTATGTATGTATGTATGTATGTATGTATGTATGTATGTATGTATGTATGTATGTATGTATGTATGTATGTATGTATGTATTTATGTATGTATGTATGTAGGTATGTATGTATGTTAATATGACACCTTCTTAAAATCACCTTAGCTATGACAAAGGAGGGTTTCTAAAAATTACTGGAGTACAAATAATTGCCAGGCGCGAAGACATGCCTAGGGCAAGATGGCGAATGCAGCAGCCGTCTTACCAGGGGCATGATAAATTACCACCGTTCAGTGATAAAAACTGATAATGCAGTGCTTCCATCGCAACCCCAACAAGTTACATGTGGACACTTTTAGGGCCACATAGCGCTCAAAGTCCGTCTTAGTGTTTCTAACTTTCCATAGTAAGCCTCTATTTGCATGTACAGTTCATTGGAGATTCAGTGACCCATACTTGCTTCAGTGCGTTGTATCGTGGGGAAACACTATATTTCAAGAATTTACGTAGCGATTACACATATATATCAAAACCACTTCACCTCTAAGTGGGCACTACCAGAAAAGAGCATGTTTCCGACATGTTGGAAGGGCCAAAGCTGGCTTCACTTTTGCTGCCAAGGCATTGCGGGAGCTTTCATTCCAGCAACTTTTTTTTGAACCTCATTTGCTATAACTATAAAGTTGTGAGATATGCTATGGCTAGGACAGTTCTGGACGCGCTTTCGATGGGCTTCGGTTGGGAGAATGAGCACTTGGGTACACTTTGGAGGTGGATGAAAATACATTCCAACCTTTTGCTGTGTCAAACATTCGTTGATTCATTTATTGATATGTGGGATTTAAGGTACGAAACCACCATATGATGATTCGAGACGCCGTAGGGGAAGGCTTCGGAAATTTCAACCACCTGGGGTTCTGTAACGTTCAACCAAATCAGAGCTCACGGGCCTACATCGCTTTCACCTCTGGCGAAAATGCAGCCGCCGCAGGCGGAATTTGATCCCGCAACCTGCGTCCGGTGATTAGTGTGGTGATTCCTAGAATACAGAGGAAACCCACAAGAGGCCAATTTTAGCCTCGAAGTTTGGTTGCACCAACACTCTGACCTTCAAGAAGGAAATGGCTCTGCAAAAATTTGCTGTGTTGCCCTTACTTGGAATAATATAAAATAATAATAATAATAATAATAAAAATAATATAATAATAATACGCCACTTTAAAATCAGTAGAACGTTATGAGGTGGTAGATAATTATGCCGTACATGACTTAGACGTCATGATTATCATGTTCGGACGTGTCATTTACGTTCGCCCTTATTCACGCGATGTGATACCAAATTGTCATATGTGTAGCTAACGAAACGGCGGCGAGCGTGCTATGAGCGTAGCATGAAGTCATGTTTCACATGGCACTTATATCATGATTATCATGGTTAGAAGTGTCATTAGGCTTGTCTTCCATTCATGTAACGTTATAAGAAATGTGGTATATGTGGAAGCTAGCCAGAACGGTCGCGAACGCGTTATGAGCGTAGCGTGCAGTTCTGTTTCACTTGACACGCATATCATGATTATCATGTTTGGACGTGTCAATTACCTTCGTCGTCCTGTTCACGACTCGCAATAACAAATTTTGTACATGAGAAGCTAGCGAAATGGCCGCGAGCACATCATTAGCGTGGTATGTTAACATGCTCTTTATAACACGCATGGTATGTTTTTCATGTTTGTACCAGTCAAATACCTCAGTCATCCTTTGACATCACGTAAGCGCCCGGTAGCATAAAACTTCATGCGTACAATGCCTGCGTAAGATCTTAACTGCAGTACGCATCAATTGTGTGGAATCCGCATTATCAGAAAGATATTTCCTAACTAGCAAAGGTACAGCGTAAAGCAGTGAGATTTATATTTGTAAAGTACAAACGTCTAGATTCCCCTACATAGTTGACGAAGCTGAATATACCAACGCCGGCAGCCCGGAGAAAAGTTTACCGCCTTTCATCCTTCACAACTGCCTAAAAGGTAAAATCAATTTATCTCTCCCAGCATCTGTTAAGCGTCTCAGTACAAGAACAATATGGCACTATCGGAAACATTCGTTAGCACCTATCTTCGCCTTACAAAATCGCTTCATTACAGTTTCTTCTCTGATACAGTCGTGGATTGGAATTCAGTGCGAAAAAGTATATTCAGCTCTGAAGACGTATTTAGCAATATCCTATATAGCATATTTTAAAGGTCTAGCACTCTTCTAGTTACCCTTACTGCTTTCTTCTATTAATTGTTTGTATGGCCCTATCCTTCAATGATTTTCGTACTAAATTTATTGCTTGTTTTGTTTCTTGTGTTCACCATAGCGTTGTTTGGATATAACTTTTGCAGTGTACCTGAAGGCCATGGTGCTTGAGACAAAATGTTGGCCTGCAGTATTTCCGGTAAAGGAATAAATGAAATAAAGAAGTGTATCATCGGTTTAATGTCCAGTCCCACTTAGTGGGTATGAGCCAATCATCAGAACAATCAAGCAAGCAAGCAAACGTGGCCCTTCATGAGCAGGCAAAGCGCGCGGTCAGCTTTCGCGAGCTGCCAACCGTACCGCCATTGTCCAAACGATCCTCGGCGCACGCTACATCCGGCGAGCTACAAATCTCTACAGATCCGCACGTATCACCGCCTTCTCCTGGCATCGGATAGGGTTCCTGGAATGATGAACGACTACGTCATCATAGAGAAGACTGGCGAAGGTGCGTACGGTGCCGTGTACAAGGCAAAGTACAAGGCGACCAAGAAAATCGTCGCTATAAAGAAGAGCTGGGTCGAGGATGGAGACGAAGGGATTCCAGTCACAACAATATGAGAGGTGGCCCTTCTCCGCGAGTCGAAGCATGAGAATATAGTGCGTCTCATAGAAGTCCTCGTGCCACCATCGAAGGCTGTACACTTGGTCTTCGAGTACATGACCATGGATCTGAGGGCGCTCTTGTGTTCTCATGCCAAGAACAGGACATTTGATGACGCCGTCGTTAAGAAGTACCTCGGTCAGATTGTTACAGCCATTCTATTCTGTCATCAAAGAAGAGTTCTGCACCACGACCTCAAGTCAGCCAACGTGCTTGTCGACGGAAACGGCACACTCAAGGTAGGCGACTTCGGCTTGTCCCGTGCCTTTACGCCACCAGTGCGGGTTTTCACCGACAAATTGGGCACCTTCTGGTACCATGCGCCGGAGACGCTCCTGGGTGCCAGTCGTTACTCGAGACCGGTGGGCGTGTGGAGTTTCGGGTGCATCTTCTTCGAGCTGCTGACAGGCAAATTTCTGTTCCTCAGGGATTCGGAGATTGACCAGCTGTTCCGAATCTTCCGTGTCCTTGGTACACCGAGAGTGCAGAGCTGGCCTGAAGTTATGCAATAGAAAAACTGCAAGTTGACCTTTCCCATATAGAGAGAGAACATCGTGTCCACGCTGCTTCCTGGGTTGGACTTCGTGGCTGTAGATCTGCCTTTGAAGATGCTTATTTACAGCCCTGGCGAGAGTTACTAGGGCAAAGATGCCACAACACACCCCTATCTCACCGGATCGAGAGATTGCAAGAGGACGGCACACAGCACCGACAAAGAAGGGCAATGAGACTTTGCTTTGGCAGCTGGAACTCCTGCTCTACCGTTCCTGCGGCGGCAGCTGGATCCGCAAGATCACTCAACACTTGAGTGGAGCACCTAAGAGAATTACCAGAAACAAAAGTTACGTGGGATTGCTGCGCGCCGGCTTCGCCGGCCGTCGCTGCATTTGTAACAGTGTGCTGTTCACTTGTTAATGGTGCACTTGTAGTGAGCTAGATTTAGCCAAATTATGTTCAACATCATCGGAAACGCTGAAGCCTGGCCGCTGCAGAAGTGTTAAGTGGGACCTTCTGCCTCACTTCAGCAGAGCCACACTGGCATGAGAAAAAAAAAGTTTCAAGAGAAGTCAGCAGCGCCAGATGCCCAGGTGGTCTAAATTTCCGGAGCCCGTACAATTTGAAACCCATACATGTAATATACAGACTTTGAAAACTTGGCGATGTTGCTTGGTGCTGCCGCAAGTGGGGGCTGACAGTGGCGCAGCTGTCGCAACACACTTCGGCAAGTCCAGCCACGTGAGCCGGATCGAGTGTGTGCAGTGCGCTTGACTGCGGTTACGCTGTCTCTTTGTGTTGCCATACGTACACTGAAAGTATCGGGCATGCTGCTGTGATCTCGATAGCGTGGATGTTCATTCTTTTGCAATATGGTGCCTAGAATATTGTATATATTGCTTGAACCTACGTCACCCGACGTCCCTGCTCGGCGCAAGTCGACCATTTTTATGAACCACAGTCAGGCCTTCTTCAGCCGGATCTATTTATTTAATTACTTATCCCTGTACCCTAAAGTTCTGAAAGCATTACATAGAGGAGGGGGGTAATAGTATACATACATAGAATGAACACAAGCACTAAATAATATAAGGTTTGAAAAACTGAATATCATCGTGCAAACATAAAGAACAATAAAATGTAGTTATAAAAAGTATATGGAAAGTAATTATAAGGACAAACTGCACTGAAAATAAAAAAAGAACAACGAGGCCGAACATTTTTTCCCACACAGTGGTAAAGTGACCGAGCTATACAGTTTGCTAGAAGTATCATTATGAACACATGTACATCTGAGGCAGTTATACAGGGTTGCTCGAGCATGATGATGAAGTTTTAATTTGTCGGTGAATTGGTCATGGCTTTTTGTACAAACAATATCCTTAGCAGTTTATTCCATTGATTGGTAGCAAAAACCAGTGGCAAATATAGGAACAGGTTTGTACGGGAAAACAAATGTGTAATTAGACTTCATGATCAAGGCGAGAGAATATTCGATGGGCAGATTTATAAGGGCAGGCAATGGCGAATAATTATGAGAGAGATTCTGAAAGAGAGATAGAAGTGAGAACAGTCTACGTGACTGCAAAGACGGCAACTTCAGCGACATTTTTATTTCATTTATGCTAGAAGTTTGAGAGGAAATTTTGGTATGAATCGGGCACTTTTGTTTTGAAGGGACTCTATTTTATTTATTAGGTAAGTCTGGTGAGAGCTTCATGTTGGTGAAGCATAATCAGTTTTAAAGCGCACTAGCGTATTATAAGATAAAAGTTTCGTACCAGAATTGGCAAAATGTAATTATGAATCCGAGTTTTTTATACACACTGCCAGTGATAGTGTAATGTGTAGGTTCCATAATAAGTCACTCGGTAAAGGAACTCTCAAATACCTGAAGTTGCATACATTTTCTGCTTGTTTCTCATTCAAGGTCTAGTGATGAGTTATTGCGTTGATTTTTTTAGTAAATGAAAGAACCTTTGTTTCGTTCACGTTGACTTCCATCTGCGAGTCATGGCACCACAAACGTTACATATTAAAGTCCCTCTGCAGATTATTAGCATCTTTACTGCTAGTCAGCCTTCTATATATCACACACTCATCCGCCAGCAACCTTACTGTGAGAGTCATAAGTTTAGCTATACCTTTAATGTAAATTAGAAATAGAATTGGTCCCAGCCCAGATCCCTGAGGCACTGCCAATTTCACGTGCTTTAATGGGGAATTTTTGGCGTTAACCACAACGGATTGGCAACGATTAGTTAGGAATTTCGATATCCAATTGATTACGTCACTGTCTCAGTTAAGGCTGGTAAGATTTTTGATTAGTCAGCCACGAGGAACTTTATCAAAGGCTTTTTAAAGTTTACAAAAAAACGGCATCAATCTGTCATCAATCATTTACGGCAATGTGAATATTGTGAGCATTATTCATGCGCGTCATCTCGTGATATGTACATACTCATCATCATCATTTTCACCTGTGTTGTGGGGCAGAGGCTCGGCAAGTAAAAAGAGTGTGTTGCAGCAAAAACGTTGCTTTACAAGTGGTGGAGAGTGTTTTTCGGTCCCCTAGTCCTCTCCCTCCAGCGCTTTTTCGTTATCTTCGACTTCTAACCATCCCTGGAACTCCGGTCGGGTCGCCGTCTGCGCAGTCAGCCTACGGTCATGTCGCAATACGAGCACAACAACACGGCTCCATCCATCCCGCATCATAAATAACTCAAATAACTGTGTTACACAAGATCGTCCACGCAGGAAGACATGTTGGTTAACAGAAAGAAATCCTGTTCCCCTTAGTAATTCATGACTGCCGAATAAATTTTATGCTCGAGCAATTTACTGCACATACTAGTTAAAGAGATTGGTCTGTAGTTATTTGGGCTAAAGCGGTCTCCGGATTTAAATATAGGTATTACGTGGGCTAGCTTTTAGTCGTCGTGTACACATCCTGTGTCGAAAGACTGTTGGAAAACGGCCCTCAACATGGGACATAATTTTAATTTTACTATCTTTAGCAGCTTTGGGCATATTTGGTCAGGACCTGGTGCATAATTTTCAGGAAGGCGATCAATGACTGCTGCGATGCCTTGCAAAGTGATGAGAATGTCTTCCATTCGGGAAGTTGAAAAATTTTACGTAGGTTAGGTAACATTAGAGTTTCATCTGTAAATACAGAGCTAAAAAAATTACCGAAGTCTGTCGCTGCATTTGACGAGAAAAGGAGTTTTCCGTCGTTCGGTATTGATACTATAGGACCTTGGACCCGTTATTCGTACTCACTACTTTCCAAAATTTCTCGCTATTGTTTCTTATTATGCTAGAAATATCAAAGATATAAAACTCGTCTTTTGCTGTTTTGATTTCCGTTCTACATACCAGCGCGTGTTCAATGTAACCCTTCCAGTCATCCTCAGACGCCGTATATTTCGCTCGCGAGTATAATCGTTTCTCCTTGATTATGCAGCGTATTACTAGAGTCGTAAACCAGGTGCTTTGTGTAGATGCAACTATGGTGACTTTGGGAATATACTTTTCTCTGAGCGAGATAAGATTATCGCGAATAAGTGTCCAATTCTTGTTTCTCGTTGAACCTACGAGGTTCTTCCTTTGCGATGATTCATTGATTGATTTGTGGGGTTTAACCTCCCAAAACCACCATATGATTATGAGAGACGCCGTAGTGGAGGGCTCCGGAAATTTCGACCATCTGGGGATCTTTAACGTGCACCAAAATCTGAGTACACGGGCCTACAACATTTCCGCCTCCATCGGAAATGCAGCCGCCACAGCCGGGATTTGAACCCGCGACCTGCGGGTCAGCAGCCGAGTACCTTAGCCACTAGACCACCACGGCGGGGCTTCCTTTGCGATGGTAATGGGCGAAATTGTAGCCTGCTCAAATCGTAGCAACAGGTGCGGAAGAAAGAAGCAGCCCACTAGTACGAGCTTTTTCAATTACCGAATGTTATTGAAGACAAGTGTGAGCATACGAAAATGTTCAGCGTGAACCGTTGGAGGACTGGCACGCATAAAAAAAGCGTGCACATTTTGACGCACAAGCGACAACGTTCGTGTTTGTGTGGAGCTCACTCAATTCGTAGGAGGTAATCAACTGAGAGAGGAAGCACAATGACAATAATTAACGTAGATGCTCTTGTGTTCGTAGGAAAGCCGTACGCGTTTTAAACGAGATGAACCCAGATTGGGCGCCGTCTCTGCAACTCGACTACGGCTCCAAGCTTACAGACGCTGCGTGGCATGAGCACCAAGAAAGGTGGCGTCACGATGAGGGGCAAGCGGAAATCGAATGACGGCGACGACATGTCGACGACATGACGACGCGGCGATCATGGACGCAGCATCTGAGCCGCCATCACAAATGTGTGCTGCCGCCGATGCCCCCCCGCGTCACTGCTGCCCGTTCACCTGTTAACATAAAAGCAAGCGATGCTGTATTACGAACTTTTCTGCCCACACCAAATCGTTCATAACCTACGCGAATGAGTACATCTACGCTTTCATTCTTCATTTTCTCCTCTGCCACTCTGAAATTTCATCCCACAGTTCTGCTTCTGAATAAGATCAAGGCGTCTGTTCGTGAAGTTGAATCCGAATGCGGTTTCTCCGGACATTCTACATGAAGTCACGGTGGCACTGGGCAGTATGCGGTGGTCTTACAATCCACTGATCGCCCCGCCGCGGTGGTCTAGTGGCTAAGGTACTCGGCTGCTGACCCCGCAGGGCGCGGGTTCGAATCCCGGCTGCGGCGGCTGCATTTCCGATGGAGGCGGAAATGTAGGCCCGTGTGCTCAGATTTGGGTGCACGTTAAAGAACCCCAGGTGGTCGAAATTTCCGGAGCCCTCCACTACGGCGTCTCTCATAATCATATAGTGGTTTTGGGACGTTAAACCCCACATATCAATCAACAATCCGCTGATCTTCTTTTACGCAGCTTCTCGGCTTGTTCAGGTGTGCGAATGCCAG